TCACTGTTCACTTTTCTGACTTTTTAAAAGACTATTTTGTGCGAATGCACTAGATCATTATTAGCCGATAATCTCATAGTAGGCATAGACTTCTTTCGTCCTCCACAAAACACTGAAAACACTTATTCCGCCATCATTTCTCAGGATTTCTGGGCATTTCTTTTTATATATATGACACTGTAGAAGCCTGGCACAATTTGCCTTCTTCGTGCTAATTTTCCTTTATGCATAAAGCTGAACTATTCTAAAATTATAATGCTTTGGGGGAGAAGGATAACTGTAGCGCATGACCATAATACGCTCAGCTTGATGATAACTTTAAGAAGCTGCTTTTTTGTGGGGGGGTGGGGAAAAAAGCTGCCCACTGATATTTTGCCCCCATAGTTCCTTCTCACTACCTTGCAATCTGTCTTCTGGTCTTGCTGCCTCCTGGCTCAAAATTACATACTAATTTGCTTACTGTATATACTCGTGTATAAGCCGAGTTTTTAGCACATTTTTTATGCAGTTTCTGTGGTAAAATTAGGTGATATTTGGCTGATATTCAGGTTGGTTTATACTCTAGTATATACAGTATTTGTTTTGTTAACCTAACATATAATAGATTGCCTTGTGAGTCGATTCATGGATAGGCACACAGGTTGCACAGGTGTGTCAGAGAGAGTAGCATTTACCCATGGATGCACAGAGATGTCACAGAAGATACCTGGTTATTTACCTTTGCTGAAAATATATCCATGGCTGTGGTGGAACACACAGGGGCAACATTATAAAAACACCTTAGGCATAACCAAACAAGTGGGAATGAGTCACTGGGCCTGGGGGACCAGACCATCCTTTCAAGGGAGAACAAGGTCACTTGGCATAACCTAGTCTGTATAGATAATGTTCTATATCCTGCGTTGGTGAATAGCAACTGGGATCTTCCAAGTTCATGACTGGCCATCACACATGCAACTCTGGGTCTCTTCATGGAGGAAAGAAAAGTGAGCAAATCCAAAGACACGTGGCAACACTGATTTCAAAGGACTCCATGGTCAGGCAAACTCAGCCCCCGCAGCCTGGAGACCAGGAGAGCTAGATGGGACTTGACTCCCTTTACAGACTGCGCTGAAAGGGTCACGATAGAAGGTCTTGGATAGAGTGGGGGAAGGTGGGACAAAATGATAAAAGAGATCAGCTGTATTGTTTGGCTAGAGATTGGTGGCATCCCTGAGACTCCTAGGGTCCTCAAGTGCTGGTAATGAACTCACCCCCATGGTTCAGTTTTCAGCCAACCAGTAGACTGGGAGGTACACACTCATTCGTCTAACCAACTGTTTGGCAAAAAAAAAAAAAAGGTAAGGGGGGGGGGCCAGCACAGACAAATGTCAGAAAAGTTAGAAAAGGAGGGAATGAAAATAGTACCCACAGGGAAGGAGTCGAAGAAGTGACCTTTTGTTTGGGGGCTGCAATCAATGACATGAATCAAAGTATATATGTATGAATTGTTGAGTGATCATCTGATTTGGTCTGCAATCACTTACCCAATTCACTGAAAAAAAAAATGAAAGAAAAAAATTGGATAAATCTGACTTGCAACGTGTAACTAAAAATAAATAAAGGAAGAAAGAAAACTGCCCTTCCGTGCTGCCATTATATCAGATCTTTATCTGAAATACTACGACATAACTAGCTTCTCCATAAGCAAGTTTCAAATATGCAAATAATCATCACCCTCATTTTATTCATCTTAAGTGCAGATATCCCCCCTAAAAATAGAATTCACCATAAAGCAAACATATTGTTAGTGGTCAATCAGTAGTTTATGATAAAAACACCATATGTTGAAGAACCATAATGTACGGTGCCAGATGACTGTCTTGAATCAGAGATCAAATGAAGTGTGGGGTGGGTAATAATAATGTGTGAGATGTCCTAATAGGTGGTAGATGCCCTAGTTCAATACTGTTGTTGCTGCTGTCATTTTGTTTTTAAGAACATGGAAATAAAGATTCCCTATGCACTCGAATCTGACGACTGGGTTTTTCCTATCTGCTTTTACTAGGTGACTGATCTTGATGATGAAGTCGGGTCTCCAGCTGAAGAGTTCAAAGCCTTTGCAGCAGACACCGGCATGAACAGGAGCCAATCAGAGTACTGCAATGTGGGCACAAAGACCTACCTGACCAATCACCCGGCTAAAAAGTTTGTTTTTGACTTCATGCGGGTCTTAATAATAGATAATCTCTGCCTCACTCCTGCCAGCAAGCAAACGCCACTAATCGATCTCTTGTTAGAGGTAAAGACAAAGAATTGCATTCATCTCTCTCTGCATTGTTTTCATGCTTAGGACATGAATCGCCAAATAAATTCTGAGCCATCTGCCACCCAGATTTTAAATTCTGAATTGTTTTCTCAAACCCACTGCCTTTGAGTGAATGACAGTTCATGGCTGCCTTCTCTGTGGACAAAGTAGAACTGCTCCATAGGGTTTCCAAGAGTTGTATATGCACAGCACATAATGGGCTATGGAAAGTTTGTATCCCCAGTATGCTTTAGACCTTATGCATTTATTTTCCTTCCTTTACCTCAAGTGTGTCCCTAGTCCAATCTTTTGTTTCCTTCCGCTAGACCAGGCTTCAGCATATTTTTCTTATTGTCGGTACAGGGTCATTACTAAATAGTTGAGGCTTTGCAAGTCATACAGTCTCTGTCACAGCTGTTCATCTCTGCCATTGTAGATGGAATACAGCCATAGACACTACATAAGTGAACAAGCATGGCTGTGTTCCAATAAAGCTTTATCTACAAACGTAGGCAACAGGCCACCATAGTCTGCCAACCACTTCCCTGGACATTTACAGTGGCCTGGCCTTTATAGCACATTCATTCCAT